ATAGACTATAAATAAGAATAGACTATAAATAAGAATAGACTATAAATAAGAATAGAATAGAAAGAATAGAAATAAGAAATAAGAATAGAAATAAGAATAGACTAGAATGAATAATAAAATATAGAATTAGACTACACTAGAATAGACTAGAAAGTATAAATAAGAATAGACTATAAATAAGAATAGACTATAAATAAGAATAGAATAGAAAGAATAGAAATAAGAAATAAGAATAGAAATAAGAATAGACTAGAATGAATAATAAAATATAGAATTAGAATAGAAATGAATTAAGAATAGACTAGAAATAAGAATAACTAGGATGAATAATAAAATATAGAATTAGAATAGAAATTAGAATAGAATAGAATAAATAATAAAATATAGCATTAGACTAGAATAGAAATTAGAATAGAATGAATATTATTCTATTATTAATAGAATATTAATATTATATTATAATATTAATAATAAATTATTTGAATAGTTACATTATTATTTTAATAATATTAAAATATAGAATATCCCAATTCAATCTCTTCTTAAAAACTTCCAGTGTTCAAGAGTTCGAGGGGAAACTTCTTCCTTGCTTAATGCCTCTTTTACAGGAATCTTCCCAGGCTGGCGATTTGCGCCTGGGCCACAGTACAGGTGCTCCTCAAATTACGACCCCAGTGGAGCCCGACATTGGTGTTGCTAAATGAGACCTTTCTCAGGTGAGCTTTGCCCCGTTTTGCGACTTTCCCCGCCACCGTGCTTAAGTGAACCAGCGGCAGTTGTGAAAATGAGTCACGCGGTTGTTAAGTGAATCTGGCTTCGACGTGGCCTGTCAGAAGGTCACCAAAGGGGATTACGTCACACTCCCCCTCTCCCCGGAGACGCTGCAGCCGTCATAGATGTGAGCCAGGTGCCAAGCATCCGAATCCCGTGATCCCAGGGATGCTACAACGGCCCTTAAGGGTGAAAAACTGTTAAAAGTATTCATGTCCAGGAGAGACATGGGAACAAGGCCAGCCAATGAACGGGCATAGCAACTAAGCCAGCCAATGGGAGCTTAAACAGAGTCTGTGCAGGGAGTTGAAACCGAAACTTAAGCAGTCTGCTGCTGTGAGAAGTAAACTAGCAGCCTGCCTGGGCTTGTCTGCTGAAAGGAAGCGAACGGCTTGTGTTTGCCTGTAACTCTCCTGCCTTGTGTCTCCTCGGAAGAATCATCTGTTGGTATTGTACATTTATTCAACTTATGTATATAAAGAAGTTAATGAATCCAGCTCAGAATCAGTTATCTGTCTGTGCTTTCTGGATTTGAATTGATGCAACAAAAACGGCCCCAAAAGTCTCTTTTTTTCAACGCAACGGAAACTCTGGTCACTCAATGGAAGGGCGTAAGTCGAGGACGACTCGTGTTGCTCTTTCTGGAAGGCAGTTCTATGATCCCGGAGTTGAGGACATCCTGCGCCCCCCCTCTCCCCAGAATCTCCTCCGCCCGTTAAACTTTTTTTGCCCTCCTTTCTCTGGCTTGCCTTTAAGCGATCCAGGTTGTGGCCGTATTCATCCAGGATGGTGGTTCCGTTGTGCATGACGCCGTTCCCGGTCATCATCCAGGTGCCTGCAGAAGAAAGGCCCAAGCCACATGAGCACGGAGTGGGAACTTTGGTTACAGCATAGATTTGGACAAAGACTTATGGGAAAGAAACAGAAAGTTAACTTCAGCCATATCGCCACGATGTTGGGAAACGTAACGCTGCCCCTAGGGACCTTCTGCCACATGTGGTGGGAGTGCCCGAAAGTTCGGGCTTTTCAGCACCAACTGAGAATAAAGTATTTGGAAGAGATGCTCAATCAAAAAGGACGGAGTGGAGGCCTCAATTATCTCTACTGCTGTTTTGCATTTGACAGAAGGGGATTCTGTCAATGCCATTCTGATTAAAGCTGCCTTCTGCAATTGACAGGTGGGAATTCTGTCAATGCCAATGAGTTAAACTGCCTTCTGCAATTGACAGATTCCGTCAATGCATCTGATTAAAACTGCNACCACTACATAGAACACAGAGGCCATTTGGTCTAGGTTATAATTTGACCTAGAGCTTGGTCGTGCATACATAAAGCTGAGACATCCATAGAAAATGGTTATGACCATGAGGTGAGATGTACAAGTGGAGAAGGCTTTCTTACGGCTTGCAGCAGAATGGAGCTTTAAAATGGTGATCAGGATATAAGCGTAGGAGGTGAGAACAGTCAAGCTTGTTGTTAATAAATTGAAACCAACAAATACAAATACCAACAGATAATTGAGACTGATATCTGAGCAGGAAAGAGCAAAAAGGGGAGGGCCCTCACAATAAAAACTCTTAATGATGTTTGGGCCACAGAAAGACAGTCTAGTTGCAGCCATTGTGTAAATAGAAGCATTAATGATCCCAGCAATGTAGGCCACTGCTATCAATTGAACACACTTTCTTTGGGACATTGTGATGAACTAGAGTAGTGGATTACAGATTGCCACGTAGCGATCATAGGCCATCACAGCTAGGAGGTAGCACTCTGTGGTGGCCAATAGAATATAAAAGTAAAGCTGAATAAAGCATCCTCCATAGGAAATAATCTTATTTTCTTTTAAAAGGCTGGATAGAAATTTTGGAGTGACACATGATGAATAACAAATATCCAAAAAAGATAAGCCGGTAAGAAAAAAGTACATTGGTGTGTGGAGAGAAGGACTCATCCTGATTAAGATAATCATGCTTAGATTTCCCATCAGGGTGATGGCATAAACAGCAGAAAATATCGCAAAGAGAATGAGCTGCATCTGTGAGTCGTCTGTTAATCCAGTGAGTATGAATTCTGTCACCGGTGTGTTATTTCCCATGTAATTACAATATTTCAATCAAGTTTTGATTGTTTTTCAAATATTTGTAATGTAGTCTCAGATCAGAACTAATGTTTAAGTTCCTAGCAAAAGAAACAGAAGTTGGAAGCCTTTTGATGAAGAGGTCAAGTAATAAAATAATATTCATTTTAGAGGAAGCAATATTCAGTCTGCATAAATATCTGAAAGTTGAGTCGTGGCAGTAGGGGCTATTTTCTATTGTTTGAGATGTTTTGCTGCTTATCCAAGCAGTTTCATCAATCAGAGCAAATTAGTTAGGCAGAGAGTCATTGGAATGTAGCTATTTGTCATCTGGGTTACTTAGAATCCTCATTGATATATTGGCACTTTGGAGGGAAACCCACGAGGTTTGTATGGGATGAGTTGCTACATTCCAAGTATTCTCTGCCTACCTTGAAGAAATTGCTTGAACGAGTAGCAAAACGTTCAAACCAATAGAAAATAAGTTCAGTTGTCATAAGTCAACTTTCAGATAATTTCACATGGATGTCTAAGAATCTTCATTGACAGCTACATAGACATTTTCTTTCAAATTATAACTACATTACCATATTTTGAATATTACGTGCTATGCAATGAAATAATGAGGATTATTAGAATGCATTAGACATATCCTGCTAAATATGATTAAAACAGTTCCATCCCATGAATAAATTTCTCCACAGGACTGTTAAAGGCAATTAGCAACCATGAGAGTGCTACTGAAATCTTTGAGGTGAGGAACTCTTCTTTAAATCTTGGAAGATCTCAGACAAGTATCAGAGCAAATATGACTTGCATTTACATTTCCTTTAACAGGATATCTTGAGAAGCTGTTGTCTATTGCTCTGTTGGTTCATTGCTGGATTTATATGCTCCTTGACTTGTGGAAGCTGATTTTTGGGCTACAAGGGTTTCTCATTCTTGAGTTCATTAAATGAATTATGAATGGCAAAAGCTACCCTGACTCTCTTGTCATACAGTAGGTGATTCATCACTGTCAACCATGTTCTTGTATGTTGTTCGCGATGGTCTTTAATATAATCAACTCTACAGAGAAGTTGTTTTTCATTCTGTAAAACAGTTGTTCATTCTACGAAATAGTTCAAAGAACTATTTCTATAAAAATTTTTTGAAGAATTACTTGTTGGTAAATATAGTTCCCTTTTTTATCTTGGTTTTGCCATGTTAATGCCAGTTATGTTTTGATGGTTAGCCTTACTTGCTTTTTTGTACTACCCATTATTAAAATTTAACATAACTTGTTACATTATTAAATGTTGTTACATTTAATAACATAACTTTTACAGTTTTAGAAACATAACATTTGATTTGTTCCATCTCAAAATACCTTATTTTCTATGCCAAATGAGTAGATTTGTTCCTCGCCAAACTTGTAAATTTCCTGAAATATTAAGGGAGGTTATTTTTTAAAAACTGGGGAATCAGACTGTACACTTACCATGAAAGATAGCTCTTGCCATTTCTGACTACCCAATCAGTGCTCTTTGAAGTAACAATAACTTATCTTCCCATGAACACTAAAGCAAACTCTCATAAGCAATAAAATGTATAGTTATCTTTTTGTTTTCTTCCAGCTCAACTGCATCTTCACATTTTATAATATGTATTTTTTTTCAAGCTTCTGTTGCAGGTTCTTGAAACTTGTATTAGCATTCTTTTGTTGTTTTGGATATTTTCCTTCTATCTTCAGCAACTCGGCAGCCTTTATACAGAATTATATAATTCTGTGGATAATAATATTTCCTTCAATTCTCTTTGGAATGATGCAGAGAAGAATTCTACTGAGAAAAATAATGGTTTGGGGAATGTCTCCCTGAAGTGCTTGAAACTGCTCCATCTACTGACTTGTCTTAATTACACAGTGAAAATTCAGTAAACTGAATCACAATTATTTGAAATATTTACCAGTGGAAAATGGAACATCAGAGATCACTTCTTACTAATAGTATTTTATCATACCATTCCCCACCACATACACATGATGTTTCTCATGTAGACAAAGAGTGTCTTTCAAAAATATGGTTTTATTATTTAAATAGAAAAAAGATTAACAAAACTGTGTTCAAAATAGTAACTGAATCGTTCAGAGAAAATATTAAAAACTTATGCAATGTTGTGAAGCAGTGATTTTAAAGACTATTAAATGATGGTATGAACTTGTTGGTGTGATAGCTGTGTGTGTGCTCACTTATGTTTTTAGACCCTTGCCCCTCTAGTTGGTGAAGGCCTCCCAGGAGGTCGCATGTGTCTGAGTCCAAGCAGTGGTGAATTCTTCCTTGGCAGAGAGACTGGGTACATCTACACTTAGGGAGACAGTGGTCTTTACCCTCCTCAGGAAGGCATCATTGGACTCAACTATGTTGGTTAATTTCTAGCAGCTCCAAAGGGCCCTGGATGAAGCAGACTATCAGGATTCCTTTCAATTAAATTTCACATGGCACAGTATAGAAACAGCTTTAGTCATGCTTGTTGATAACTTGTGGAGGGACACATGATAGAGATGATGCACCCTCCTTGATCTCTTGTCAACTTTCAGTACTAACAACCATGGTAACTCTTGACAACTCAAGAATGTCAGTGTTGGATATGGATTGAGGCAGTGGTGCTCCTCCTTCCTCCATGCCACTTCAGTCACAGTTGACAATGGGAAGTGAGAGAAAGAGAGAGGCCATCACATTGTGATGCGATTCAGGGTCCAGTTCTTTCCCACTCCTGATTGACATCTACATGAGAGAACTGGGTGAAATCATGCATTGGCAAGGAACAAGATATCATCAGGATGCTGATGATACTCAATTTTACATCTTAACCCAGGCCCACCAAGTGATATTATCAATGTTTTGTCTTGGTGTCTAAGAGGCTATAGGTGAGAGAATTGAGGTTCAGACTGCACCATCACAAGACCAAGTGGCTGTGGATTGTGGGATCTTCTGCATCTGGGGATCTGGGGATTTCTGAAGGGAGTTACACTTAGGCAATGTGACCCAGTATTCTCTGGAACAATATCTTCACAGTTCCCTTTGAAATAGGTCATGAATTAAGATTTGAATGGTATGATTAGCTATGGTATGACAAAATTAAAGTAAATGTTGATTTCAATAACCATTTTGTCAGACATGGGAGCAGTATATAAGTCTAAGTGCTATTGCTATGACTCCTAGCCTAAATGGATTACCCATTACCATAGAAGAGGTCATTGACCATCCCAAGGAGAAGACAGTCCTTGTTGTAATCAATGGACCATAACAAATAAGTTTGCATAAGACAGCTAACAAAAGGAAGTATTTGTTCTTTCAAAAGACAATTTGGGAACACTATTGTGTCAGCAGAGTAATTGTTGTCCAAATAAACAAGGAAAAAGTCTTCTACTATGAGAAAGGTGAGACACAATTAATGCAGAATCAGATCCAGAAAGATATTCTTGGATAAAATGTATTTTGGCAAGGTTTTTAAATTCGATACCAGTGTGGAATGTTTGGCAATCAAATTGAATAATGCAAATAAACAATAAATGAAATATTTGAGCTGAGTTATAGTTTCTATATATTTTATAACAATTAACCATGACAGATTAGTTACTTCCACATATTTTAAATCACAGTACCTTTCCAGCAGAATGCTGAATTAATTGACCCCTTAAATTCTTGAGTTAGTCCAAATGAACCTTTTAGCATACAACCACACTTACTAATAAAATATTACATTGAATTATTAGGTACTCCACATATTCCTCTCCCATTGTCCTGTTACTTCTGTATTTTATCTTACATTTTCCAAAACAAAACAGAACAACAGGAGGAGATGGTGTTGGGGATCATCCATTAGGAAGTACCCGCTAAATGCTAGGATGTTGCACGATTACCCAATACAAAATGATATAATAATAATAAGATATCATTATACCATTTTATTATAATTATTATAATAAATTATATGTGCCTGATTCCCAGTGGGCTCTGATGCATCCTTTTATTAGTGTAGACTCTGAGCTACTGAGTGTTGTTACAATATAATGCAACCTGAAACAGCAATACTATTCTGCTCCATTCTGATATTGATCAGAATGGAGCATTTTATCTTTTTTTAATGGACCATTGACATTTGAAACTTCTGAGTGTGTAAGAAGATAATGATGTACAATACAAAAAAATATGAACCCATCTGTTTCTACAGACTCTTTTAACTTGTAGTTTGTGATTTTTTTAATAGTTTGACTAAGGTGACCAGACGTCCCGCTTTTGGCGGGACAGTCACAATTTTTTACAATTTATCCCGCATCCTGCGATGTTTTTAAAAAGTCCCAATTTTCATGGGTGAGTGGACGAAAGGGCATCGGCAGTGCTGCCAGGACCCGCTGTGCGAGGGCGAGGGAAGAGTAGGGCGGGGCCTGAGGAAGCTGGAGGGAGGGGACTCAGAGGGATGGGGGAGCCAAAATGGTGGTGGCTGAGGAGGAGGAGGTCTCGCGGCCGCCACTGCCACCGCCGCCACCAAGGAATTGCAGGATGATAGTGGCTGTGCGCCAGGAGGTCGGCCTGTGGGGCTGGAGGCTGTGCGGCAGCTGCGCACTGCTGAGCACTAACAGGAATCACGGGGCAGGCTGGCCAAGCGGCCTCGCGTACGTAGCTCACCTTGCCGCCCGATGGAGGCTGCCCTGCTGCTGGTGCTGCTGCACCTCTGCTCTGCCACAAAGATACCACTGCCACCCCCGCTGGCTCTTCCCGCCCGGACACCCGCCACCCAGGAGCCACCTGAAGCCTTCCTGCCCACCACCAGCTGCACCACGGCTGACTTGCCCCGGGCAGGCTGGAAGGCTTCAGGCATCTGGGTGGGAAGAGCCGGTGAGTGGATGGCGGTGGCATTGCCACCCAGGAGCTACCCGAAGCCTTCCTACCCACCATCGGCTGCACCGCAGCTGACTCGCCCCAGGCGGACTGGAAGGCTTCGGGCGTCCGGGCGGGATGAGCCGGTGAGTGGATGGTAATAGCAATATAGCAATAGCAGTAGACTTATATACCGCTTCATAGGGCTTTCAGCCCTCTCTAAGTGGTTTAC